CCCGTTTTTACTCTAACAGGCAACAGGTGTTTTAAAGAATTTACATATTTTCCCATTCCAGGATGACTTTCATATTTCAGAGTGACAGTGGTTGGTTTGTATACAGAATCCCAAGACTCATTATCTCCAAGTGAACTAAGATATTAAAAAATAAATGTCATATTTACATTTAATAAATTTCATAAATGTAATTTAAATAAATGTCATATTCACATATGTCATGTAATGTTAATGGCATGCATTTACAATTATCACACTAAAATATTACCGTATTTGCCGTTGTATAAGATGCACTTTGTTTCTTTGAAAATAGGTCTGAAAAACTTGGTGTGTCTTATACGTCGATACTCAGATTTTTATTACATTCATTTCTGAAAATTTCCTGTATTCGAAGTTATGTGAAGCTTTTCTTGTTTCCTTGCAGAGTGTTGGAATATTACAGTTACGTAGAGTTCAGTGAATGCGCATGCGCTATCATCGATGATTACAGCCAAGTTCGTTTAAACTTTCCAATTTTCATGAATGACTTGATAAGTGTGTGAAATTTCTACTGTTCAACTTTCTGAAATTTGTTGGCAAGTTATGGCTTAAAATCAATGTTGGCATTGATATAACACAGTATACAAGCTATGAGTGATTGTGCATGCTAAAGAACATGGAAACAGGGCTTTAAAGAGGCATTTTGGGACACCCTAAATGGAGAAAATGATAAGAACTTGGTGGAATCAGGAAGAGGACCTAAAAAAGCAACTCATAGAAGCAGAAAGTATTACTTTGTTTTACTCTAAATTTAAAATACTGTAAATTCATTGTAATGATCAGTAATTAAGTTTTATGCTTAAAAAATGTGAATAACAAAGGGGGTGCATCTAATACATCGGCAAATACAGTAATTAAAATATATTAATCAAAATCATGTCAATACTTGATTCTTTCAAAAGTAAAACAATTTGATAAAAGATCCCTGCCTTAATTTGAAACCTCTCCTACTGGTATTTCTAAGCCAAATCTTTAAAATTATGAAACCATCTTTGTTAACTCTCTGTCAGAAACAAGCTAAAAGCCCATCGAATTGCCCAAAATACTGCTGCTCCAATTAATTCCTAATGCCAATTTTGTCGTTATTTTTTTAATTAAAAGATTTTAGTTTAGCACATTATTCTTTGCCAATTAATGATACCAAATGGAATTTATTTCAGTTTATATAATCCCAACTAATCATGTAAAACATCTTGCATTCCAATCATAAATGTACTTAAGTTTTTTATGCATTCAAGCTTTGTTTCAGCAATACTTTTTAATCTGGTGATAAAGCATAACTAAATGTTTAATTTCAAATAATGTTTAGGTTGCTGGAATATGAGAAAGCACACAAGTTATTTGTGAAATGAGAGGGATGTCTTTACGAATGACTTTCTAAAGGAATCGGTGAGTTCTTTCTAATGGAATTCATGTCACACATGGGGAAAACCATTAAATCCAACCTGTTCACCAGGGATTGAACCTGGGTTAGATTAACAATATTCAGCAGTTTTAACCACTAATAAATAATAGAAACGCTACATTTTTAATAATTTAAAACATGATCTTATTTACTTTTACCATGTACTTGGCTATAAGAATACAATTAAAAATTATTACAACTATTCAGTACAGTGACCATTACATTAGAATGATAAGTTAAAATAGTGCCCAACTCATAGCAGTACATTAAGTCCATTATAGTGATAATGCCTTACACAATTTTTTCTGTAAAATGCTAGAAATTTTTACAGTAGGTTAAAATGTACGATACTTTTCTGTTTCGTTGGCGCAAATCTCGCAAAGCAGACTTTGTTGGCGACAGCATACGGTATACACATAAAAAATGTTAACAAATGTTAGTTCTAAGAATTTTTTTTTTTTTTTTTGAGGCATGAACATTTTAATATGGTTTAAAATTTTGTAAAAAGACAATAAATAAAGACAATAAATTTGTAAAAAGACATTAATAATTTACTATGCTTTCATGGTTCAACATCCTGATTTGCCGGTTCGTATCACGTGACCCCAAGTGATCTTATCTCACGTAAACTAAACTACAAAAATCTAATTCTTTCTCGGTAATTATCTACATTAATTTCAAGTTAAATCTTATGGAATACAAGTTTAAATGTAACAATTATTTCAATTTGTACGAATAGCTTACTCAGAAATTATGTAAAACCGCAGTGCTTTACTTCGCTAGTGCATTCTCATTAGAATTGATGAATTTAACCCTTTATTTTGTCTTTTCTATATTTTCGCCTTCGTGTGAGTGGCGTGATTGCATCCTAATTAATTACCGTGAATGGTCTTATCAAATTTAACTAGCAAAATTTCTATGTAATTGTATGCCAGTATTGAAAGAAACAATCAATCTGATAAGAAATGACTGCAAATTGTTTTGAAAATGAAGGGTAAAAAGTTACCAGCGAAGATATTTCGTTTGGCATCAGTTGCACCATTATTGGCAACTTTATCATTTGCACCGGCAAAACAGAAAAGTAACAAATGTACATATATAAAGGTAGGACTGTTGGTAAATGAAAGCCAAAGAAGAATTAAACTTTGTTCATAATAATCAGATTTTCTTTTAATAAAATTTGGCTCTAAATTGGAACACAGTTTTAGAATTATTTTAATTAGCAAAATTTCTATGTAATTGTATGTAAGTATTGAAAGGAACAGTCAATCTGATAAGGAATGACTGTGAATTGTTTTGAAAATGAAGAGTAAAAAGTTACCAGCGAAGATATTTCGTTTGGCATCAGTTGTACCATTATTGGCGACTTTATCATTTGCGCCGGCAAAACAGAAAAGTACCAAATGTACATATATAAAGGTAGGACTGTTGGTAAATGAAAGCCAAAGAAGAATTAAACTTTGTTCATAATAATCAGATTTTCTTTTAATAAAATTTGGTTCTAAATTGGAACACAGTTTTAGAATTATTTTAATGACTGATTTATACAGAAATAGATTTTCATTTGAAATCATTCTCTGTTGAATTTCCTGCTCGCCATTATTATTAAGCATTGTTCTTTTTTTATTACTTAATATGATTGAAACAGCTTCAGAGCTTCTAAAGTAGCTCTGAAACTTCTACTTCCAACTAAGAGCTCACAGATTTTAAAAAAAAAGTGATCTCACTGCTGTTTTTGTTATTATTTGAATCAAAGTTTCTGCATCTGAAATTATTATATGTTAATTTTCTCATCTTTTTATTCAATCAGCCACAGATAATGCTATATTCAAGAAATTATTCTTTTGTTTTGAAAAAAATGAGTGGAGAAAAACTTCATCTGTTTCATAAAATCTTAGGTTAAAATAAAGAACCAGTTCATTCAAATCTAAAGATCCTGAACTATGTTAGGAAAGAAAAAATACAGAATACATTTAAATGCAGTTTAGATGCATCACTGGTAAGATGTCAGTTTGCCTCTATGGATGTGGAAACAATAACATCTTTTTTAAATTTCAGGAAACAAAAAACAAAAAAAAAAAAAAAAAAACAGGAACATCAAACTGACAGCCCACAAGTTGTATAGAGCCCCTGAAGTAATTTTATGCAGCCCACAAAGATATTTCAATTATGGTGCTGCAAAGATTTCAAGACATTTTATTTGAAGCTCGAAATTACATTATTTTCATTTGCATTTAAAATGGACATAACTAACATCCCAGAAAATCTACAACATAGCTAATTAATTTACAATGTGATATGAATCTTATTCAAAGATTTGAAGGTATCAGGTTTTATTAACTTTTATTTGTACCTGGAAAAAAATAAGCTCAGTTATAGATTTTTGCACTAAAAATAATCGCTTTGTTTGAGAACATATTTATATGTGAACAGCTTTTGTTCTTTTCACAGTTGAAAATTAATAAGAAAAGAACATGACTGATTGATGAGCATCCATAATCCATGATGAAGATAATTTCTTGTAATTTTTTTCCAAGGCTACAAACTTTATCAGAATAAAAACTCTACCAAATATACAGCTATAATAAAAGATACTTATCTAGTATATATATGTGTTCCTAGTTCAAAGAAAAATTTTAAAATAAGAAAAAGAGACTAGGTTATTATTATTCAAGCTTTCATAACTTATGTTTAGTTCAAATTAAATTATTTAATAATGAATTACACATATCAAAATGATTTGAAAGAAATGTTAGTCTCAGAATATGATATTTAGCTGTCAGCATATTTGAATTACAAAATGTAACCACCAAAAATGTCTTAAAGGTACCAAACTTTAGATTTCAGATAGAAAATAAATATAAATTTTAATTTTTTCTGGTACTCGCATATTATCATTTGACCAACCAATTAGCAGGATTTATATCAAATTATTGATGACCATCTGCTTTAGAATTCTACAGTAACAAATGCCGACTGTTGCCAAAAATTAATATCACTATTATCGTTGTATGATATATATTTAGTAAGCAAATTTTAAATTTACCTAAAATATATTTTATTTTATTAACATTTATTTTGCTAAAAAAAAGAGATAGAAAAAAGGGGGAAGGAAAAGACAAAAGAAAAAAATTCTGGCCAGTAAGCTGCTTTCACATCATCCATTTAGCCTCCATGTGTTGAGTTTGACCCCACTGCATAAAAACGCCAGATTCTATCAAAAATTTAGAAAATTAGTATAAGAAATTTTGCAATTTTCTAAGCAGTACACATATGCCCATTAAGGAGTAAAAAAAAATCAGTGTCTAAATTTTTACACATGCAGAAGGTAAGATTAATAAATGCATTTTAGCATGTTCTCAGTATCCACAAAGGTAGATGAAAATCTTTAACAAAAGAACTGCAACTAAATATTTCAAAAGTAAAAAAGTGTATATATATGCAACTGCTCAAATGACTTGATAGGGCATATTTAATAATTGAATTTTTTTATTTTATAATGTCAACAAAATTATTATTGAAGTACATTTAATTTAAAAATTTTAAATGTGGGACACATTTTTTGGAAAATATTTTATCTTTTGCCTTCTCATCATAATCTCTCATGGAGGATGCACATTTTAAGTTCCATTTCGCTAAGTAAGTTTTCAAACTTGTCACTTATTGACCGCAGCCTTTATAGTTTAAAATAGCAGCAACAGAAAAAGTATTCAAAGTAGAAAATATCCATATTTTAATACTCTGTAGTATAAACAGATAAAATGGAACAAGACTCGGCTAAACAAGTAACTCAGGTCGTTAAAGAATAATTCTTCAGAAATAAACATTCAGCATACTTACCTTTCAATGCCTTCTGTTTTCCCAGAAAGCAAAAAACTTTCTTTCACCTCACCAGATTTTGTCATTCTTTCTAATGTGTTAATTGATCCCGACATTTTTATGTTTATTCAGAAGAAGAAACCTGAAATAAAAATTAACATCATACGCACATAATACTATACATACACATACCGTATTTGACGGCATATAAGACGCACTTTTTTTCCTAAATTTGGTCTCAAAAAAGTTACCTGTGTCTTATACGTGAAGGTAATTGCATTCAATAACTGTTTATTTGGCTTTTACGAAACATGAGAACTAAAAGAAACCACGCTATTGAAACTTTTTTTCCTTGTGTGTGGCCGTCTAAATAAGGGTGCGTCTTATATGCCGTCAAATACAGTATATGTTTTCCTATAAATATTTATTGCCTTATAATTAGAAATCCAATACTAGTTGACAAGTGCAGTACTTTCTGATTATTTACACCCCAACCTAAAAGTTGCGAATTCACTACTGACCTTCAACAGCATTTGCAATTTTGTTGGCAAATAATAAAGATAAACATTTATTTGTGTATCTTTACATCTATTTCAAGCATACATCCAGTGGGCCCTAGTTTTTTTTTTTTTTTTTTTTTTTTTTTTTTTAAATTCATCTTTTTCCATAGCAGACACACTTCTACTCTTTAAAAAAAAATTTAACCTAGTGAACTTGGCACTCAAAACTGATCTTAAAACGAGATATAAAAAAAGAGGAATATGACACATATGATTTACTTTTTATTTCGATATAAAAGAGAATTACATATTTTCATACTTATACCATTCCTATTCTTCAGATGACTGACTGTATGCACCAAATTGTGATCTTTTAATAGCTATGAGCACCAAAAAACTGTACTACCAGGCAGAATGGAGAAATATATTATAATGTTAGCACAAAATGCACTTAATCATCTTTAATAACATATATATTTAACCAGTGCCAAATCCTAGACCATTGGCTGCTCGAGGGCAAATTAAAATTGGCCGCCCTTTTTAGAGAAATACAGTCAAAAGTCTTTCATCCGGACATTCATAATCCGAAATGATCTATAATCCGGACCTCAAAGCTACAAACTTTCTGCGAATGTGTACACGCATTCTGCGTTTACGCATGCACGTAATACCTTTACGCATGCTCATGATACGTTTACGCATGCGCGTTTAATGTATAACGGACGGTGTACGCTAAGCTCAAATTATCTAATTATCTATTTCAGTTAATGTTGCAGATTGCGTTGTTGCAGTAATCTTCAAATTGGATCCGGCTTATTATTTTTTGCAGACTGTTAGAGCAATTTTATAAAAGTAAGCTTGAACTTTCGATTATGTCCAATAGAATTTTCCGATTCTGGAGCTGCGAAAGGAATCTACAAAGCGAAAGCATGTTTCGATGTTCATTAAAACAAAATGTAATTGCTGCAAAATATGGACAAGCTGAAGAAGTAACAAGAGGTGATTGTTTCTTCTCTATTCTGAAATCTGTTGGTGTTCGCGTTTATAGGGGTACGTCGATTTTGACTGTGCAATTGGGTGGTTTTTTTTTTTTTTTTTTTTGTTTTGTTTTTTTTTTTTTTTTTTTTTTTTTTTTTTTTGTTTTTTTTTTTTTTTTTTTTTGTTTTCTATGTTTTTTAAGCACTATTGAGCGCTTATAATTCCTTACTAAACGTAGTGTTTCATCTCGATGTACTCGATTGATTTAATAATCAATTTGCTTGTCATTATAAATATCACGAATACGATACATAATAATAGTTTTCTGGTTGCGATTTTCTAATTTTGACTATGGTGCAATGTATGCTTATGCATGAGCATGTTTAAAGAAAATGTTTTAAAGTAACTAAATTAAAAAAATAAGCTTTTTTTTTTTTAAATCCTATTTTTTTTTTTTAATTTTTCTACCCTTAGATCACAATTGCTCTTTATTTCATAAATTACGATTTCATATTTTAAATTTTATTTAATTATTTCTGTGCCATCTTACCAGATTTCTAATGATTCCAGAACCGATCCGGATCCCCCCGAGTCGATTAAATTTTGACTGTATTTCGTTATACTTTCTTTAAAAAAAAAAAAAAAAAAAAAAAAAAAAAAAAAAAAAAAAAAAAAAAAAAAACCCCCCCCCCCACCCCCCCCCCCCCCCCCCCCCCCCCCCCCCCCCCCCCCCCCCCCCCCCCCCCCCCCCCCCCCCCCCCCCCCCCCCCCCCCCCCCCCCCCCCCCCCCCCCCCCCCCCCCCCCCCCCCCCCCCCCCCCCCCCCCACCCCCCCCCCCCCCCCCCCCCCCTTATTGACATTAAGAGATTTATTCAATTACTTATGAATAATCAGTTATCGCCCAACCCAAAATGACAAATCAACCAATTCAAAAAGCAAGAACCAAGATACTTTAAAATTAGAAAAGCTTACACTTTCTCATGCTTATAACAAATTTGGGCTAAGAACTGCAGATTACGGTCAATTCGGCCAAGTGAAGCGAAATTGTACCAAATCTGGTAACCAACTCTACCGCTAAATACGAATCAAATGCGGCAGATATATGCTTTTACAATTTCTAAAAACCATTTGGGTGATGATCCATTTTGTTGTGGATTTCGTCATTTTCTCTTTGACTTTTTAAAAGGAAAAAAAACTAGTCGACAATGTCTAGGCATGTAAGGGCAGTGCAATGTCATTTTTTGTGAAATTCGGGTATTTTTTTTTTAGTACCCCTAGTTTATGTCACATGGATACCGAGTATGTGCAATTTTTAAAAAGAAATTTTAAAAAACGCGCCAAGCAGTGGGTGGTTTTTCTTGAAGTCCTGTTTTAGATATTTTTGCATCTTTACTTATCTATCTTAAATTTTTTTGCAATGATTAAGCAATTATTTCAAATTCGCACCACCACACTAATATGGTGATCTATCGTTAGTTGTTTTTCTAAACGTGCAAAACTATCGTGTGGACTTGCGAAAAACGAGCGAAAAAGCACAAAATTTTTTTTTAAAATCGCAAATTCCAATTTATTCCATAAATTTTTTTAACGATGCAATTATTTTAGGAGCAAAAATAAAAAAATGAAGTTTAAAACAGTGTGAATCAGTTTTTTTCGCATGATATGAAACTTTATTTTGACAAACATAAGTTTTGGAAATGTAATTTAAGACAGTGTGATCAGCAAGTGAGACTTAGAAAAGACAACTGGTTTAAATGAAGCAGAATTCCATTTTGTTCAGCTTTGAGATTTATATACTGCTGGTGCGAGGAGTTGACGGATGTCAATTACATTTTGTGAAAAGGAACTTCGATTTATCGGATAAGACTTATAGATTCGAACAATTACATGCGTGAATTATATGTCTTGAATATGGAGAATAAACCAAACAAGAAGATAGGTGGACCAGATTGCATTGTGGAAATTGATGAAAGTTTGTTGTTTACTAAGCGTAAAAATAATTGTGGTCGAGTATTACCCGAACAGTGGGTGTTTGGTGGTATATGTAGAGAAACAAAAGATTCATTTGTTGTCACTGTTTCTAATAGAACTGTCTCTACCCTTCTTAATAAAATTATTGAAAGCATTGCAGATGGTAGCACAATTTATTCTAAGAGTTGGAAAAGTTACCAAACAAATGAAATAGAAAAAGAAGGATCCTAAAGTTAATCATAAATACAATTTTATTGATCCTGCTACAAGAGTTCATACACAAACAGTTGAGAGAATGTGCGGCAGTGCTAAATTTAGGAACAAAAGACATAAGGAGGACAGCCAGACATCATTTAGAATCATATTTATCAGAGTTCATATGGCAACAGCACCAGGTCAAAGAAAATAAAGACTGTTTTGAATCTATGTTAAACATTATCGGCCCATTTTTCACCAAGTACCATAAATTTATGCGAGTACTTAAAAATTCAGAACTTTAAGCTAAAAGGCTGAGGGAGAAATAAGCAAGTTAATATGGTAGGTTTCCTTTTTTAAAATCCATATTTTCAAAATTTCTACTATTTTATTACATTCCTTTCTTTTATAAAATAAAATGGTACTAATGTATTAAGTCAACCGTGGAGGTTAACAAAAATCTTGTTAAAGTTAATTCAATCATTTATATAAAATTCTGAAGGAACTAAAGTTTCTTCAATTTAAAAGCAATGATTATTTGACACACTTTGTTTTTTCAAGCCATTAAAGGGCTTTTATTAATTTCTACTATTTTGCTTGGCCCCTCTGATTTTACTGGAAGTTCTGTTTAGAGTGGTATGAGTACAAACTTTCTGCAGATAACTGTTCTACTGTATTATTGTTTTGTGGCCACATTCAGCTGACCATATGTCCATTAATAGACATTGTTTTTTTATAGTAGGATCCCATAATTTTGAAAATAATCCATTGCTTGCTGTTCTGAAAAATGAAGGCCCAAAGTTTTAACCTTTTTTTTTTTTTTTTTCTTTCAAAATGCAATAAAAAATAATAGCAATAACAAATAATTGATATCCTTGTTCATAAGAACAAAAGATGGCTTATGAAAAAACAAACAAAAGCACAGGTATTATGAGTGTGTTGTTACGGCTCTAGTGTAGAAATGGGTGCCTATTCGATTAGCGACAACGTTTTGTAATATTTTGGTGATGAAATCTCATTTCTGGTTACCATGATAGTTTAACTTTGCTTTAGCCTCCTGATTTTTTAAAAATAAAATAGATTGATGTGTACATGGTCAAATTTAAAGCAGTGCGCAATGCCTAGTTTGTGCAATTCTGGGATGATTTTTTAAGCGAAAACAGATCGATGTGTACATGGACATAGAGTTTATGCAATTCTTTGACTTCTTATTTTGGTTTTGTGTAGCGGCCATCTTGAAATTGTGTCTTCCTGGCGCCAATCTTGGCGTCAAAAAAGAATCGCCAAAATACAAGGGGCACCCAATTGTAAACTTTTACCTGTTGTTACATCTTACTTATCTGTTCTTAAAAGATGCTAAATGGAGATGCTTGGGGATATTTTCAAGATCAACGAGTAATACACAAGTATAAACAGACTAAGCCATTGGAAAGCTAAAGATTGAGATCAGAGAGCTTATTCGCTGGCAAAGGAAAGGTGATATCTGAAGGCATGTTTG